ATCAATGTGGGAGTGGAGCACACTATAAGAACTTCTCAATAGGTTCTCTTATGATTCTTGTGCCAATAGATGTTGATGAATCTTGTAATCGAATAGAAATTATTGCTCTATGGAAACATGACATAGGTAGATGACATAAGAGTTGGAAATTATAATTTGTATGTATTAAATTATATTTGGTACGTTGGAACAGCACAAGCTTGGAAGTATCTATAGAAGGAACAGCAATGGATTTCATCAAACTCAGCATAGGTGGATTTATGGCAGTTGTTGCACGACATGTACCAAAAAGATTGATCGTCATTTGTAATTAGCTTTGCTATGTTAAGAAAATAAGGATGAGGGAATGATTTTAGAATTTACGAAGATAAAATATGAAAGAAGACTGCTCACAGCTGGCAGAAGTCCTTCTACATTTCTGATTTGATTGATTTTGTCTTATTTTGGAATAGATATTCTTGAAGCCGTCAACTTATAATAACATTTCTTCATCACAAATTCATTAAGCTTTTGGAGATTTGCATCCACCCTTATATTAGAAGTGGTTAAAATAGTAAGCAAAACAATAGAGATAATTTTATTTGGAGGCTAAAAATCATCTTATACATTTAGCATTAAAAATGTTCATAATAAATAAATTTGTATTGAAATATATTGTTGAAAGTTCTTGGACTATTTATACTTCAAGAATAAGTAGACTAAAATTTAAGAAAACAATTACCAAGACTTGAACTCAACAGCTTCTTTAAAAGGAGCATCAATTTTGGAAGAGCTATTAGGTTTTGTTGATATCGAAAGCCCTCTCACATATATAATAGAATTTTTTTTTAAATGGAATCGTGAATGAGCAGGAGTTGATTCTATATCTATATACATAATTATGTGAAAACTACCGTTGAAAGATGTTACTTTTAGTTGCTTTCCAACAACAACGGGTTTCTTAATCAAGTTATCTAAAATAAGACTGCATTCCTTTTCGACGAAACCCTCATTCACTGCTGAGTGAAGATCGGTTCACTTCTGAAGATGTCGCCGACGTGATGGATGCCGACAAGTGGTTACCGATGGTGAATGGATGCTGACAACTGTAACAGAGAAAGACGACGGCGATTTGGGGTGGGGACGGTTGTTTGGTGGTGTGGGTGTGGGTAGAATAATTTAATTTGATAATATTATTATTTAAAATTAAAAATATTGAATTAGCACCTAACTTTTGCATTTTTAAACTTAATGTCTAAAAATTGATTCGGTGCATACTTAATATTTGACTTACGATTTTTTTCCCCTTTGGTTATTAGGAGCTCACAAGTCGCAAGATTGACAGTGAGACAGTGTCTCTTAATGTCAAGTGGAAATAAATATAGATCATGAAGAGATCGTATGCCTTTCATATATTATTGAGTTATATATCTCTATCTTTGCAATTTTAAGCTAGAAGCTCGATTAGTCTTAGTCTAATTCTTTCTATATTTTTTGGATTAGTTAGTAAATTAATTAATGAGGAAAATCTAATGAGCACCAATGCTCATGTTATGTTAAGCACCAGTGACATGTCATATTAATTCATTAAAAAAATAAAGATTAGATGGGTCTCAATATTTGAATTAAATTTATCCATCAATGAAGGAATGATACGTTTTCTTGATAATTACATTGGGAAACTCCATAAGCACGTGAATCCATGTACATGGGTATCAAATAATATAGAAATTACGTGATTTATACTCTATGTTGGTTCAATACTAAAATAATCTCAATTTGACATCAAAACTAACAAAATTAATCAAATAACTGACTTGAATGTAACTTGAAATTGAAAGGAAAATAGGGCGTCAAATATGTTTTTTCGAATGCCTTTTATGTATGAGAATATGTTCAATCTCACCGTCACAACTTCTAAGGGTTGAGGAAATCATTTTAAAACATTTGTTTATATTTCGTATCAATGTTCAAAAACTACTAATAAACATCTAAAAATGAATAGTGAATAAATATGTAATATTTAAGAATCCTACAAAATATTTGAATAAGAAGTTGTTTGACATTTAACAAATGTTTGTATACACTTGCTACTAATTACAAGAATAAGTAAGAATGCCAAATGAGGAGTATTAATAGGATCAATGTTAAAATCTAGCATGCGATAGTTATGCATGACCCGTGCAAGGATGACATAGAACCATGTTTGGTACGTCCCACTGATTAGAACTCTATAATATAAAAAATAAATCTTTTTAACTTTGTTCATGCTATTCAATATACTTTAATGAAGGTGTCATAAAAAAATTTTGGATTTGTGCATGCTTGGTGTAAAGAAATATAGAATTAAGCACACGATAGATACTTTCACAATTCTCATGAGATTTACAATTGGGGTGAAAGTTAGGTGACTACGAATATAATTAACTAAGTCCACATTGATTGTTGTGAGTGAAATCATGCTATATGAGATGATATGACGTGAAATCCAAGAGACTCCATCTATCCTTAATGTTTGGCACTTTCCATACTTTATGGGTGAAACATCAACCCATCCTCCCTTCGTCTTCATCTTCAAGACAAGTTTCTTCCTGCTTTTAGGTTGACGAGTGAAGAATAGAAGATCTACGTGACCCAATTTTCTTGTGATTTGTTGATTCATATCGATAAAACTAGTTGTGTGCCACATACATGGGGCAAGTCTTGTGGTTGGTTTGAGGTGTAAAAAGAGTTTTCTACTATCAATCAAGCCAAAGGTTTCCTCTTCTCGAGCCTACAGGTCTTAAAGCCCTGACTTATGATTGGTGGAATAGCCCGCTACCTTTACCCCTATTGGAAGAGGAAAACCGGTTTTCGGGTATTTAGGCATGGTTTATGCCATGATCAGTATAGGCATCCATGTACAGAAAATTTTAATAGAAAATTTTGGCAGACAACACGTGGCTTGAAATCATTAGAAGATGGGAAAAAAAATGCGAATTAGGTTTCATCACTTCTGCATCTGAGGCCTTTTTCTTGGTTTTGTTTTAATAGCAAGCTCAACAAGTTCTGTTATGCTATCTGATGCCGCACGGAGGAAGTGGCTCATTAGTTAAATAGAAGTTATGTGACCTGGTTGCTGTTAAATGAAGTTCAATGAGTTTGATGACATCGTATAATTTACCCAGTTTTCAATACTAAATGGCATCTCTTGGTATGTTAAGCATTGCAAAATCTGATCACAGGAAACATAAATGAATAATGTTATTTAACACCACAATACCAGTTTAGATGGTATTAAGTATCATTAAATAAAATGGACAATTAAATTAATCATATAATTTTACTTTTAATTAAATTATTACATATTGCCACAAAAACTAGTATTCTGACACTACTGGTACTAGAGAGTGTGATATAAATATAAAATATAGAATGCGCTTGTTAATTGTCACATTGAAACGTGCTAAATTCACCGTGTGTATTTAATTCGATTCCGCACAAGAATATTTAGTCGCAATTATGTAAGAAAAATTAAATAACACTACATATAATTAAAGATGAAAAAGTGATAACATTGAGTCATGTTTGTTATTATGCTCCTATCTGGGCTCTATTTATCCAAAATACATTCTCTTTTATCTTTTTAACCACATATCTTTCAATAAAATAATATTACACATAAATTCAAAAAAAATCATTTTTTTCAATAACACATTCTTCAAAAAATCGCCATATATCGAATGTGCAATTCAAAGTTTTAGAACTTTCCGAACCTAACGTGCACTTGAAAGTTTTACAATTTCCCCCACCAGTTTGTGAAAAAGTGTGTCATTTTACCACTCCAAACATTGTGGTGGTAAAAAAATAAAAAAAAATACAAATACACAAGATGGGTAGTTTCTCGAGTCCCATGAGATATGCATTTTGTTTGGCATGCGATCCCAAGCATGGAATCAGATATTGTGAATAAACTTTGGAAACAAAGATCATCAATTTTCATGCTATTTCTCGTTTTTATTTTTATTTTTTCTCCTTTTCTTGCAAAGTTTTGTTGGGTGTCCCTATATTCTTTTCAACAAAGCTGCTTGTACAGATGAATTATACAGACAGCTTTACGAATGATGACTTGACACTGAATAACTGATGACAGCGTTTTAACGGGTGGATTAACTCTGTTTTTCGTCAAAGATAATGTGAAATCTTATCATCTATAATTCTTGTAAACCGGGTACTATATGTAGCATTGTTCTTTTTTATTTTTTATTTTTTATTTTTGACTTTTCCTTAATGAGAAACAAAGATATTCACATTAATGATTTACATGTAACAATCTTTTTTCAACGTCGGAAGAGAAACTTGAATAGTTACCTCTCTATTTGCTCACAAGTGCCAATTTATTTTTACTCAACCATAGAGACCAACAACTCTCGATTGAGATTAAACCCCTATTTTGGTGGAGATTAAAATCAAATTTTTAAATAATTTTAATAAAAATTATAAAATGTATGTTTAAAAAATTGTTTGCCCCATTAAATATGTTATTAAAATTAAATATTGATTTTGATTAAAAAAATCTAAATTATAATTTCATACCAACACAGGCAAAGTAACTAGTGGATATTTTTATTTTTATTTTTCTTATTATTTCTCTAAAGCAAGTAATCTTAACTGCTAGTAAAATGTGTACATCGAGATCAGGACTTAATCAAAAAAATTAGAGAGAAACAATCTTAATCCCTTAGCAAATCTGATTGGAAATTTGCACATTTTCATTTGATTTTAAATTTTTAATCAGAAACACTGATTGTCCAGTATATCAATCTTTACCTTTCTACTTCAAGTAGCTAACAAAAGTGGTAATATGAATTATTAAGAATAAAGTATTGCTATTCTCATTTTCATCTTCTTTGGTACAAAAATTATATAAAATAATAATAAAAAAATTATAACTTTTTTTCTTCGATAGTATCAACTGTTACAGAAGTCTGATTTATAAAATTAACATATTTCTTCTCTAGTCATTTATTTTGTTAGGAGACTGTCTTCTTATATACCTGATATTCAAAGGTTCGCCACGGCAGCCTTAAGGTCGAGCAGGGTAAAAATTATACACTTCACTTCTTGTACAAGAGCAAATTAGCAAATTTTATGAATCGAAAATTGCATTAATATCTCTGCGAGTTGTAAACAGTTACACGTATAAACCAAAAAATACCAGAACCTCAAGAAACCGCACTGCAAATGCAAACTTGATCATGAAGAACTGCCAAAAACCTGAGATTAAAATATAGCAGAGATTGCATTAGTGGGTCGCAAGGAATGCATGGTCGAACAGTAGATAAAAGTTGTGAGTCTTATAAAATATACTGATAATTTAGTTTGTCCAAATTATAAGTAATTATAATTTTCGATAAACATGGGATTAACATCATGATCACAAGCAGGCCAGACGGAACGATACTTACTCCAGCCAGGATATCCCTGGATAGTTGGGACTTCTTTTCAGTTTCCTCTACAACTGGCTTTTTCTGATGAAATTGGCGCATGACCTTCTTTACTTGTTCGCCCTTTTGCCTCTGCAGTGCAAATAAACATAATAGGTCAGTAATATGGATCAATTAGCTTAACATTCGGAATCCGATGCCAAATAACCAAGAAGAAAGATTCTGTTCAGTGGACATAATGAAAATCAGAAGTTGTCTTCTTTCAACTACGTATATAGATGACAGAAAGAGAATAATCAATTCATCAAAAGAACTATAAAAGTATGGTTATAATGACGGAAATCATTTTATGCAAGTCAGTGAATTCACCTTCTTTAGTCGTTCTTCTATATTACTTAAGGCTACTGACTGATCAACTTTTGAGAGGTAAAAATCTCGCTCTCTCTTGGCAGCAGAAATTTCCAAAGCTAGTTTCTGCTCCCGAATGGCACTTTTGTATGCTGCAAACATTTGAATGTCACAGCCCAATTCATATCGTGAATGTTTACTGTAAAATACAACAATCAAACACTTAAAAGAGTTATGTACCTATTTCTTCGGTAAGATCATCCCACTTGAATTTACTCAAGTACTTGATATTCCAAATATCATAATGAAATCTTGACCGTTTCCTGCCACCTGATACCAAATATGAAAGTGAAACTACATTATGTAATATTCTTGATACACTTGGACTTAATTTTCTAAAATCAATCAGGACCATATAGCCCCTGTCTGGCCTCCATTTTCTTGAACTCATTTCTCCTCAAACTCATTTTCAAACACATATTTCATGAGAATCACTGCCTTTACCAACTTTTCAACCACACTTTTCATCAACTTCTATCAAAATCTACTAGACTTAATTTTTAGCTAAAGCAAACAAGGGAATAGTGTTCAAGACAAATGATATTACTAAATTAGTCTCCTAAATGAAATCACAATGCTTAAGGAGCCTCAAAGTAATGTTCCAATTAGCAAAATATGACTTGTGCTTTTTCCATGTGAAATATCCTTATGCTTCACATCCCCAACTCTATTTGTACATGTATAATGTGTCATAGATTACCTCAATGCTGATTTCGATTGGTGTGCATTCATGTGTGAATGAATAATACATTCCAAAAAGACATCACAAAACAAGTACAGATTATAAAACATAATCAGTAAGCAGATGAAAACTGTTAGGGAAAAAAACTCCATTTAACATACCTATCTGTTCCCCATTTAACATCTCAGCAACCCTCTTGGCAACACTCTTCTTGGTGAACTCAACCCACCTGCATGGAGACAATCATAGTTAATCATCGATCATAAATGCAAAACACGTAAAAATAAATTTGAAAGCAAACCACAAATTAATGGAGTGTCAATTTCTAGAAGGAAGTGATAAAAAAAGTCATCAAAAGCATGTCAGTAGTATGAGACATGGGTTACCTATAACAAAATGTCCCACATTAAAGAATTTGAAATTCTTCTAAGTATAAACATGACCCGACCAAAAGAAAGTCATGCATTAATCCGCGTAAATCCATTTGATTTATAGAAAAAAATAAAAATAATTTGGGGCATACAAACATACCCTTCTGAGAATTCTTGGCCACGAAATCCACCAGCCTTTTTACGATGTACTCGTGCAGCAGGATCTGCATTAAAAAGTTTCAAGTAGGCAGCAGGATAATGTAAAATTAGAACATTAGAAAATTCCAATTGGTAAAAGATTACCAAGCTTGAAAGTATTCCATCTAATGGTATAATCAATACAAGTCAACTAAACAGTCGAGCCCAAAAAATCTCTTCTATGCTAAGCAACATCAACGAATATCACTGACAATGTAATGGTAATTGACCTTCAGGGGTGAGATAAATTCTTTGAATTTCACCATACTGGGAGAGAATCTGACGTAGCTTCAAAGGATCCATGTGAGGAGGTACCCGACTTAAGTAGCAAACACCACGCTTGTTCGCCTTTTCAGTTTCCATTAGTAACCGCTTCTTCTTTTTATTCTTCCGCTCTTCCTTCTTTATTACTTCATTAGAGCTTGGATCGCTTGGACCATCTTCACCTCCAGAACTTGTTCTATCAAACACTTCTTCCTCAGTCATTTCAACTGATAACCTGATACATCAACTTTATTTTTAGTATACCAATATATTCAAAAATTTCAAACTATAAGAAATGTAAAATAGAGAAATCAAAGAAACAGAAGGAATAAACTTGCTAAATAATTTCAGTGTAATGAGTGAAGTTTGCTTCTTTACTCAAGTTGAACTGAAATCATTTTTTCCGACATAAAATTGCTATATATGTTACAGGTTTCAAATATCAAATTCTTCCTATTTTGACATTCTACGAAATTCCAGTCCAACAAAGCCCTAATAACTTTATAGGAAAATATACAACTGAAACAGACTTTGCTTCAGACGGTGAAAAAAACGCTTTTATCCATTTTCTTTCTCATTGGAGGAAAATAAAAAAAAATAAAAAAAAGGACCTTTATTAACATTATTACATTACCCTTTTAAAGTAATATACACATACATTATACATACATACATACATACATATATATATATATATATATATATATATATATATATATATATATATATATATATAGACAAACAAAAAATTTGCGAGGTTAGTCTCTGCAGTTTGTCGACAGACATTGTTACCGCTGCCCAGGGATTGGATTTGCACAACTAAATTTGGTGGTTCATAGAGGCAGCAGGGGCAGAGCAACCTGGGGTCTAGTGAGGGCAATTTCATCTATTACGCTTGAGGGGCGGCCAGTTATCTAAGGCAAGGAGAACACATGAACAATCGCATCAAAAATTTGACACGAAAGTCAAAAAAATCACTGTTGCTAAAGGAAGATTATCATCAAGAAACAAACAATTTAGAAAAAATAAACAAATTATAAGAAGTTGAGTTGAAATGAAATCATTCTTGCAATCAGATTGAGTGCGATTTGAACAGAAAGCCCGTTTTACACCAACAAAAATCCGATACTACCTTCCACCTTTGTTGAAGAAGTTGAGTAGAAATCACTGCTACACATGATGAATTGGCACCAAGGAGTGTTAATATGTACCCTTTTTGCCTCTGCCTCAGGTTTTTAGCGAATTTCGAGGAAGAAAACCTTAGCCGCTTGTTCTCCTTCACTCTATGAATATGAGGCCTAGGTCATAGATGGATATGCATCACTTTTAGCCCGTTTGGTTTTTGATTAATTTTCAAATTTCAATTTAAGTCAAAATCAACGATTAATTTTAACTACGTATTTTATATATTTCACAACTATTCAACTACACATTTTATCAACTTTTATCAAAACCTATTAAAAATCTAATTCCCACCAAACAGGAGCTTAATAGGGTTTTAGGATTTTTTTTTTTCCATTCTAATTTATTTTTCAGAGGATTTCAATCACTTGTGTTTCTCTTTGATTCCTATTAATTCAAAATTTATCTATTCTCAACATAGTTATTATACTCGATCTGATCATTGATCTAGACAAATCATTAGTTCATCGAGTTGTGGTTTAATCAATGGGTCAGTGTTTTAACCGGTGGGTCATTGCAACTTGCAAGGTCAAATTTTAGTTAAATTTCTTTTTTAAAACAAAGATTAAAATGGAACATATATAATTCTCAAGAGCAAAGGTTCGAATCCTCCCAACTACAAATTTGATATAAAATTTTGCAGTAAACCTTTTTTTTTATAATTGGGGATGTTCGGGCCAACTTACGCACACTTCGACTAATTCCACGGGACCCTAAAGTTTATAGGCGAGTACTTATCTCAGTGGCCTTGAGGGAACTCAAACTGTTGACCATTGGAGAGCAAATTCAAGGCCTAACCACTGAGGTACCCCTTAGGGTTGCATTCAACCTATTTAGTAACTAATTGGTTTAATCCAAACCGAATCTAGATCAAGATAAATCGGTCCGGTTCGAAAATGAACCGCTTAATGCTAATTGAACTAGAGACTGATTTTTGGGCTAGACAGACTGGTCCGGTCCAGTTTTAATAACTATGATTCTTAAACTCATTTTCAAGCATATATTTTTCAATAAAAATATTTTGCACGTAAATTCAAATTTTCTTCCTAAACTTTAATCACACATTCTTGAATAATTCATTATTACAAAACTCGTTTGATGAAATGATGGTCATCAAATAGGGGCTAAATTGATGTAGAATGAATTGAGAAGCAACAACAAAGAGAAGAAGAGGAGTTACATAGGGGAAAGAGGGAGGAGAAGGAGAGAACGAGGGAAGACAGGAGAATTCTGCAACAACACAAATAATCTTCATTCATCAAACTGCTCTTTTCCATCCAAATTACAATCATGAATAACAAAATAATAAATTTGGGCTTGGACCAAACCCATGTACAAGCCCAATAAAATATAAGGCCTAAAATAAATAAATATTAAATAAAATGGCCCAATAAATGGCCTGATGAGGATGATGTTCGCATTAACTCTCCCAGGGTGGGAGAAAAAACTCGACCCAGTCGAGTAGGGAAATCACAAAAGGATGCTATCAATATCCCAACCACAAACTGAGCGGTTGAGCAAACTTCTTTCGAAGTCCGTAGACAAGTAAGGGTTGTGGTCCGAGTAGGGAAAGATCTTGTTGACTCCTATAATACTCCAACAAATCAGGATCAAGCTGCAAAAGTGACTTCTTGGAGATCCAAGTACAATCAGAATCAAGACGACCCTCCCAATGAACAAGGAAGCGCTGAATGTCTCCATCCTTGGTTAATATGGTCTGTACATCTAAAATAGCATCAATTTTATCTTTATATACTGCAACAGGTGGAATTGGGATAGGGATAACATTTCAGGATGAGAGTCCACAGATGGAGGGGTGAAAGAATCATCGGCGGGGTGAAATTGGCCTTTGTAAGCAACTAAGTCCGCAACATTAAAGGTAGGATGGTAGCCAAAATGTGATGGTAAGTCAATGACATATGCATTTGGACCAACACGCTTTAAAATTTTAAAAGGACCAGCACTACGAGCTTGTAATTTGGAAGCAGGCCCAAATGGACGTCGCTCTGGTCTAATTCAAATCATAACATAATCCCCAACATTAAATTCAACGTGGCGTTTGTGCGAATCAACTCGAAGTTTATATAATGCATTACTCGCTTCTAGCTGTTTATTGATCTCAATCTCAATATGCAACTCACACACATAGATACACTAACATGTGGAGACATGGGAATAAGGTCCAACAACTTCTGGGCTTAAAACCATGAACAACCTCAAAAGAACTCATACCTATAGGCCGATTCACTGAACTGTTATATGTAAGTTGGGCAGTAGGAAGAATTAAGTCCCAATTCCTAAGACTTTCCTGGACTAGACACCTTAATAGATTATCAAGACTGCGACTAACAACTTCAATTTGATTGTCCGTTTGTGGGTGGTATGCAGTAGAGAATTTCAGTTTAGTGCCAACCATACTCCATAAGGTTCGCCAAAAATGGCTTGTGAACCGAACATCCCTATCCGAGACAATGGTCTTAGGGAGGCCATACAGCTTGACAATCTCATGAAAGTATAACTTAGCAACCTTAGATGCATCAGAAGTTTTGTTACAGGGAATAAAGTGTGCCATTTTCGAGAAGCGATCTACGACAACGAAAATGGAGTCGTGTTTCTTTGGAGTACGTGGCAACCCTAACACGAAATCCGTACTAACGTCTTGCCAAGGACAAGTAGGGACAGGAAGAGGCGTGTAGAGGCCTTTGTTCTGCCTCTTTTGCTTAGAACGCTGACAGGTGTTACAAGTGCCAATAATCTTGGCCACGTCTATCTTTAAGATGAGCCAATAGAATTCACATTCAATCTCCTCTATGGTCTTATCACGCCCAAAATGTCCAGCCAACCAGCCGGCATGACTTTCCCAAACTATAAAGTCTCACACTGAAGTCCTTGGGTTGCACAACTTATTGGATCTAAAAAAATAGCCCTCCTCCAAATGGAAACCATCAGTAGTGTCCAACTTCCCATTTTGCAAAGCAAGAAAAATGTCTCTAAAATCGGGACATGACTCGTACTCTTCCTTAAGTCTTTCAAACCCTATGACCTTAACACTCATGATGGACAGCAAGGAGATGCGACGACTTAAAGCGTCAATAGCTCGATTTTCAACACCTTTTTTATGCTTTAAGACAAAAGAATAGGCCTGCAAGTACTCAATCTAGCGGCCATGACTAGAATTCAATCGTCTTTGGGAATTAATGAAATGAAGGGCCTCATGGTCAGAGAAAATGACAAATTCTTGGGGTAATAAATAATGACGTCAATAGCGCAAGGCTTGTACAACTGCGTACAACTCCTTATCATAAGTCGAGTACCGTTGCTTGGCATCATTTAATTTCTCACTAAAATAAGCAATAGGATGACATTCTTGACTCAAGACTCCACCTATTCCTAACCCTCACGCATCACACTCGACCTCAAGAACTTTGGAGAAATCTGGGAGTCGCATGACAAGAGCATCTGTCATTCGCCTTTTGATTAACTTAAAGGCCTTTGCCAATGAAATTCTCCTCTTTCATACACTCTGTGATAGGAGTCATGATCGTACTAAACCCCTTGATGAAACGAAAATAAAAGGTAGCTAGACCATGAAAACTCGTAACATCATGTATATTCTTGGGGTCAGGCCAATCAACGATTGCCCGAATTTTAGCAGAATCAGCAGATACTCTCGTAGCAGAAACAATGAATCCGAGGAACACAACTCTATCAGTGAAGAAAGAACATTTCTTCACATTGGCATACAAGCTTGTTGCATGCAATGTAGAGCAAACTTGCATGAGATGATCTCGATGTTGCTCCCTATTTTTGTTGTATACGAGAATGTCATCAAAGTATACGACAATAAATTTGCCCATGAAAGGCCGAAGGGCCTGTGTCATCACCCTCATAAAATTGCTTAGAGCATTGGTTAGTCCAAAAGGCATGACCAACCACTCGTATAGACCATCTTTCGTTTTAAATGCAATTTTCCACTCGTCTCTTGGGCGGATCTAAATCTAATGATACCCACTCTTCAAATCGATTTTGGAAAAGATTGTGGCACCGACCATCATATCTAGCATATCATCAAGTCGAGGGATGGGAAAACGATACATGACAGTGATCTTATTGACAGCGTGACTATCGACGCACATCCTCCAAGAACCATCTTTGTTAGGCGTCAGAAGGACGGGAACTGCACATGGCTTAAACTTTCACGGATGAAGCCTTTGTGGAGGAGTTCACCCACTTGTCTCTGGAGCTCGGCATGTTCAGCGGGATTCATCCTAGGAACCAGATCTATAGCATGTTGAATATCCCGTAAATGAGGTAATAGATCAGGGAGGTCGTCAGGAAATACATCCTTAAATTCTTGAAGGAGTGACTGGACTTCAGTAGGGTCCGCTAATGGAGAATCGCACGAGGCTTTTATAATAATCACAGCAAATACAACTGAGTCATTTACGATTGTCTGCTCAAATTTTGTGGGGCTAATCACATGTAATCCTTTCCTCTCGACAATTTTTTTGGCTTGGTGTGACTTAACAGATTTTGGTGGTAAAGAATTAAGGTGAATCTTCTTTCCATTAAATACAAATGAACATGAATTTAATCGCCCATGAATAGTTACATCCAGATCGAACAATCAAAGCCGACCAAGAATGACATGTCCAACGTCCATAGGGATGACGTCACACCATATATGATCCTTATACTCAAGGAACTGAATAGGCACAAGACAACGCTCTCACAGCTATAGAAGAAGTGTCAACCCAAGAGACACTATACGGTTGGGGGTGCGGGACTGACTTCAACCCAAGAAGGGACATTGTGGTCAAAGAGACCGCATTAATACAACTTCCACTGTCAACAATAATCTTACAACCCTTATTGTTGATCTTGATGTAAGTATGAAAAATGAGATGACGGTGCCAATCATCAACATCCTTAGGTTGGGTAAGGGTACAACACTCAACCGAGAGGTGTCAAGGGCCAAAGAAGTAGGACCTAGACCTACTGGAAGGGCACGAAGGCAACCTAATAAGGTATTCTCATTATCATCAAAATCGTCAAACTCTTCAAAGTTAGGCTCATAGACTTGGTCTTCTAAAAGCTCATCAACGACATCGTTCCGCTCGTCAATAACTAAGGCTTGACTCAGACATCTAGAAGAGATATGACCGAAGCCCTTACAATTTAAGCATTGCAAACGAGAAGAAGTTCTTGAAGTTTTAGGAGCTTTACCTTTATTATCTAAAGCAAGGAGTGCGTTAAACGGTGGAGGTCCTAGAAGAGATTTGGAGGGAGGAGGTGGTGCCGATGAGATGGATGGACGGTTATCACTACGCCTTCCATACGGAGTCTTAGTAATCGACTTGTAATCCTGAACTAAGGAATAAGCGTGATCAAGAGTGGTGACACCTTGAAGGACAAGCTCAGGCCGAAGATCATCTCTTAGGCCCTGTCTAAACCTACTTAAAGTCATAGCTTCATCCACGACGATGTGGGATCGCATTCGGAACTCATCAAATTGAGTAACATAGTCACTGGACGGTTTCCTTATGTGAGGGCATTCCACTGGTCCAACAAGTTGCTCCAATAAGAGTGGGGTAAATACTTCTCTTGAAAATGACACTTCATTTCCTCCCAACTACCAACGGGAGGTGCATGACGCCTCTCAAGAAAGTCCTCAACGATTTCCCCAAAGAGTTGGGTAGTACCAGTTAATTTCAAACTGGCAAATTGAACTCTTCGATCCTCTTGGACTCCATACCATGAAAAGAAACTATCCATGTCTCTAATCCATTGTGTAAAAACTCTAGGATCTAAACAGCCATCGAAAGTAGAAGCATCTAATTTGATGTTTCGAAAGTAAAGTTCCTCATAGCAAGGAGGCGAATGAGTACCATAATGGTCATGGTCTCGTTCATGATTACGCTCTTGTTCCCCATTCCTTCGTCCATGACGAACACACTGTCGACCACCATGTCGATGACAATAGGGTATGTTATGAGACGCTTCAGAGTTATCAGCGTTGAGGGAGAGGTTTGTTCTAAATTGTTCACCCTAGCAGCTAGTTCTCTACTCTCTTCACGAGTAGTAGTCATCTCGATTTGGACGATTGCTAATTGAGCCTGTAGTTGAGCTAATTGTCAAGTAAAGGCATCAAATTGAAAAGGGTCCATGATCACAGTATTGAAATTGGGTATAACAAAACGACCACTACGCAAATGCATGCAATGTAACACTAACTGAATGCAGTGAATGACGAGATCAATAAACAAGTAGTTCAAGAAATGAAAAGAACAACTATAGCATTTAAGTTTTATTTTTATTTTTTTGGAATTATGAAAATTCAAATGTGTCAAGCTGATACTGCCGATCCATGTAAAATAATAAAGTAAGGGTCAAACACTAGTCAACGACATAATCATGTAAAATAAATGGCGGTAAAAGTGGAAGTATGACAAGTAAAGAGAATTAACAGGTATAGGGTCTAATCACGTGAATTTTATGCAAAGACTACAGGACAAAAGTTAACTGATGCAATTCAAGATGAACGGTAATATAACTAAGGATAAATAAAAACAGTAACTTCTCTTTGTTCGTTGGAATAACTGAGCCAATCAACGGGACAAAGAGATACCTGAAAATAATTTCAGAAAATAATCTTTTATTTTTTCTTCTTTTTTTTTTTTTAACAAACAAAATTTAACTAGACACTGTACAAACAAACAAGGCATAACCGAGCCCAAGTCACAAACTGGGTATATAATAATGGAGGTCCAACACTATGAGAAAAATCACGTTTGTAGCGTCTGGACTGTCGATTTCCTGGGACAATCAGCGTCGATCGGTGGAACGCTCAATTGACGGCTCCTACGGTGGACTTTGAGTAATAGTTCAGATTATCGTTGAAGTTCGCGAGTTTAAAGTCGCGATTTGCAACGGTTTGTGAAAGAGAAAGTCGTTTGAGCAACTAGGTATGGGTCGCGGTGAGGTGGCGGTTTGACAGTGATAGTGTATATATGTGCAGGCGACGGGACTTAAGGTGGCGGTGTGGGTGTCGTCTGGCGATGGTGCAGCTACAACGTGGGTTTTTTGTGGTCTTGTAAATGCCGTCAATGAAATTTTTGTGGGTTTTCGTCAATGATGGAAGAAAGTCGACCGGGGTTAGTCAGAAACAAGGATGACTTTATGGTTTCTGTAGATTAAGGTATGTGGGTTGTTGAATTCTGTAGCTTGGACTGTGGTTGAAGTATACAATTGCTGGTCATATGTCGTGGGCTACTAGCAGATTGGTGGGGTGTGTGTCTTGATTGTGTGTAGTTGGGGTAGTTTTAGAAATGGATGAAGATATGGGGTAAGTGCAACGGGTTTTTTAAGTTCCTAGGTGTTGAAGGTTGACGGTTACAGTGGGTGAAGGTTACTATAGCGGTAGTTTGGAATCAGATTTGGTGTAATGGGTCTCAAAATATTTGTATAGAAGTTGTTGGTTGCAATTTGGGTGTTAAGTGTATATGTAGTGGGCATTCGTGTGGTTATTGGTGTGAAATGGAAGTTGAGTGTATGTAGTGGACTATTGGACTTTTGGAAGCGCACTGCTTTTGTTGTGTTGAAGATAATGGTGAGAGTTGCCGTTTGCAGTTATAGATATATTGGACAAACAATTACTATTGCCGCTCTTTTTTATAAATGACCCCAAATTTATCTTAATAATTTTATAGAGTTTGTAGAAGAAGAAATCAGCAATCTACTGGTTGGTTTGGAGAGATGCTAATGCCAAGAATAGTGGGAGTTTAACTAGTATTATTGACCAGCAATTCCATAACTCATGATTGCAGTTGGCTTTGTCGAACCAGGTTTGGCTTTGATACCAAGAATTGATGTAGAATGAATTGAGAAGCAGCAAGAAAGAGAAGAAGTGTCACATAGGGGAAAGAGGGAGGAGAAGGAGAGAACGAGGGAAGATAGGAGAATTCTGCAACAACACAAATAATCTTCATTCATCAAACTGCTCTTTTCCATCCAAATTACAATCATAAATAACAAAATAATAAACTTGGGCTTGAGCCAAACTCGTATACAAGCCCAATGAAACATAAGACCTAAAATAAATAAATAGAGATAAAATTGTCTGATGAGGATGATGTCCGTATCATAAATAATAAATAAAAAAAATAAAACGGTTTTAACAAATTAAGGAATTAATAAAAATTTCTTAAACTAGATAATTAGGAATTTTATCATCCAAAATTTTCAAAGTTATGTTTATAGATTTTTTTTTTCCTGATATTTTCTCAAAATTATGGTAATTTTGAACGATAATTTATTTTTTATTGCTATAAAAAATTAACTGATATTAAAATTTCTCAGAATCAAATGTTTAAGAATTTAATTAATTGAAAAATTCATAATTTCGTTATATTTTTTAAGATCAATTGTTCCTAAAATTGTAAAAATTTTAATATTATGTTCTTTTTTTTGTCGATATGGAGAGATTGAATCGTTCGCTTGATTTGTGCCAAAAAAAGATAATCAATATCTTTCTCCTTAACATGCTAAGAATATATATCACAAAATTTGTGATCACAACTCTTAATATAGAAAGAATACTACTCCTATGAGTCATGGCGGGGGCAAAGCCAGGAATATTATTCAATGCGGGCACATGGAAATTGATAGTTCTATTGTGCAAGCCCACTCCAAAATATTCCGAAAGTAGCAACCGTTGAAATTCACACAAAAGTCAACACTCTTAACATTTTCTATCATCGATTTTCTTTGAAAGAACATCTTCATTTAATATAGAAAGAATACTACTCCTATGAGCCATAGTGGGGGCGGAGCCAGGAATATTATTCAATACGGGCACATGGAAATTGATAGTTCTATTGTGCAGGCCCACTCCAAAATATTTCGAAAGTAGCAACAGTTGAAATTCACACAAAAGTCAACACTCTTAACATTTTCTACCATCGATTTTCTTTGAAAGAACCTCTTCATTTGATATCTGAAATTTTGGATTAAAAAATTAATTGTACTTAGAATGGTTTCAATAAACTATTAGACTATTAGAGTCCGAAGGATTAAAAAATTATGCAAGAAAAAACACCAATAACACTACTGGGTCCAAATTTCCAATTACTATGTCTTAACAGAACAATCAACATACACGCCAAACTTCAAACATGTGAAAACTTTGGTTCCTCTATTCTTTTCCATTTTTACTTTAATTTTAACATAAAACATTCAATATATTATTTTTTTATTTAGAACTTCTACCTTTACTGTGATTTATCATGGCTGTTTATGGTGTTTATCCAGTGTATTGCTTAGGTCTTTTGTAGAGGTCAATTTGAGTTTCCCTTTTTTTTTTTTTTTTTTTTTTTTTTTTTTTTTTTTTTTTTTTTCCCCATTCCCCAAAAAAAAAAAAAAAAAAAAAAATACTATTTCACCCATTTTGATATTCATACTTATGCAACTTATGGATCCACGTGTCGTAGACAAGGGCGGATCTAGGAATTTCAAACGCACGGGCTAAAATTTAAGATAACAAGGGAGAAAAAATAATTCAATTAGGTAACATCGCAACAAAAACAATTCATTAAACCAACAAGCAACAAAAACAACTCATAAAACCAACAAGACAACATTGTTCAATTTCAATATTGCCAACAAGGCCAAAAACAATGAAATGAGGAATGACAACATTTACTTACTAGGAGAATATACTCAAATTTCAAGCTTTTCCTGCACCGCTTCACGTTTGCACCTTCAAATTTGAAATTCGAAACGAAGGTTTAGCTAAGTAGCACAAACACTATTATCGCAAAATCACGCTACAATTAAAAGAAAACAATGTAGACGAAAAAATGGAGAGTAAAAACTGAGATGCATATAGAAAATGGTGGATATACTGAAAATTAGTAACTACGAACATTTTTAGAAGAAAATTATAAAAAAGAAATTTCTATGGTGTTTAGTGAGTGTAATTCAGCCAATTTTTCTCCATATCCGTGAAAAAACATAAACAACTATAGCCTGTATAGAAATTAGAAAGTCAATCAACCCAACAAACTAAAACCTTGTCCCATGATTTTACGACGCAAATTATATTAATATCTAATTACACTATTGAATTTAAACACCAAAATAGAAGTTTATTTATGAAATGTAATTTTACAATTTTGGTCACTCAACAAGGACCATTATCCAATATTTTATTCATTCAAATGACAATTTCTTTCTCCAAAAACACACATACACGACTGTATCTATGTCTTTCACTTTCTCTCAATTCTCTCTCACCTTACACACACAGACACACTATCTACACACCAATATATATATAGGAATTGGTTCAAATAATTAACCAAAAATTGAAAAATGAAAAGGTATGTAAAAGTGGAAAATGAAAATGTGTGACTACGTGTCAATTTCGACCAAATATTTGAACTTGATCCGATGGTCAAATTACAAAAGTAAATAGACCAATTTATTCTACTCGTCGAGTAAATCGTCGTGGTATATTTGGAATCTCGAAATCAATTTCGGATGAATGAAAAATTGCGGTCCAAAGTTGAAAGAAATGAAGTGTTACAACTTTTCGAAATGATGCAGGTTTTTGCCAAGTATTGCAACTTTTTGAAAGGATGCATGTTTTGGCCCACACTACTTCATTTGCACCATTTCTCTATCTATAAATAGAATCATATGGACATGGTTTTGGGGTACACCAATTGCATTGAGCATTTATTCTCCTCTTGTAATTCTCTCATTTCTAATTCCATAGCATTTTCATGCATTTCCTTAGTAGAGAGGGAATTCCGTTCGAGTTCGCTGGTCAAAGTCATTTAGAGTGCTCCTATGGCTTGGTGTGGTCTTTGTATCTTGGGATATGATTGTCGAAAAACCGTTAGCATCGATGCGGAGCAAATTCATCTTAAGGAAGGATTCTCGCCTCGACCAATAGCATCACTTGCATCTAATTTTTCTTATTTCTGATTTTCATATTTGATTTCAGAAAATGATTAATTTTCTTTATATGGTTTATGCAAGGTTCAATATGAAGAATCACATGTATTAATTCAAGAGTGAAAATTGTCAGATTCGATAATCATTGGTTAGTTTATAAAACTCCATTTCGGTAAGTCAAAATCTTGTTTCGATTACGTGAACATGTAAGTCACGTTTTATGAATATAATATGCACATTTGAATCGGTGTATTCCCCAACAATATATGCAATGCCACTCTCTCTCTCTCTCTCTCTCTCTCTCTCTCTCTCTTACTTTTCTTCCTGCTCTCCCAATTGCGTGAAATGGCGGTGGAAATGAATTCTTCAAATTTCTGGACATTTTCATGGTCAGTGAAGCAAAGTATTCTAGATCCTTCTATTCAAGTTGGTCACGTAGAAGTACTAAAAATACATTCATATTCTCTAAAACATGTTTTTGAGCTCTAATTTCCCAAGATCGCTCCCAAGTGGCCCAAAATTATCCCAGTTTTGTCCAAAAAACAAGTTTTGTCCAGAAAACAAAAATCACTAGTAACGAAAATCAGCAATACGTGTTAAATCAGTAAAAACGAAACAAAATTTCATAAGTGCCCAAAAGATTGATGTACAAAAGACAAAAAAAGTTAATTAGTTACCCAATTGCCGTAGGCTATGGCGAAGAAGCTGGAGTAACGGGAATAGATGACACTGAAAACGACGACAGTCAGCGTAAGTTTGACGTTTGCCTTCTTGCTGGAGTCCGTTCCTGTGAGGCGCAAGCGTCTGAGCGAGAGAGACTCCGAGACAAAAGGTAGGTTTTTCAGTTTAGGGAATTGGGCTGGGTTGTTATAGCTTGGGTTTTTTCGGGTTGAATCATTTCAAAAGCCTAAAAAAATAAATAAAATAAAAAATAGCGGTTGAATCAATTGAAAAGCCTAAATCTAAATAATAATAATAATAATAACAAGGAATTGGATTAGGCCAAAGTCTACACCCTTAAGCCATAGTTGTACGTTACGAAATCATGTTTAATGTCAAAATGGTCTAATTTGACAACCATTTTTATCCACATGAACAATCTTCATATGAAAATTTCACAATTTTATGAGATAACATTAATCAGAGTTACAATCATTTTCACATCTCACATGAACTCATATTCATACCTATGAAGTCGTTACAGTTATATGATATATAATTAATTGAAGTCACTATTGCTTTTGTTAAGCAACTTATACAAGACCACAACTATGAAATTCAATCAGATGATAGAAGGAATCGCATGTCCACACAGAAATCATAATATACCTTCAATTTTTCTTCTAATTACTGCAATTTCTACCCATAATGTGCGAAGATCTCATACGCTGATGTTGTCAACCCTTTTTTTTTAAAAGAGAAAATATCTTATTTGCTTTTTGTAGGTATAGATTTAAAAGAAATAAATTATTTTCATATATTCACCTATTAGTTCTCAAAATCAATTCCAATACATAATATATAAAAAAATACTTTAAAAAAAACTTTGGAGTGACTTGATTTTGCAATTTTGTGAAATGTTTCTTTAGGGTTGGGCATGGTCTACTTCAGTTTAATTTCAATGAGAATCAAACTGGACTTGAAATTCTTGGGTATTCATTAAGTGGAGCCGTCGGGTCCAAATATAATTATGGAACCTTTCAAGTTTGGTTCCTTTCAGTTTTCAGGTTCCGTATTATAATTAATTGTTTTAATATTATCAAATCTAAATTAATTCAACTAATAATGTGTTCAATATTATTTCTTATAAAATAACGTAGTCCAATCTTATATGTTATTTGCATCTCTCTTTGCGAAGTTATTCATAGAGTTGATCGTTAAAATCACAAGAATAGGAAGATAATAAGCTCACAATAATTAAAAGAGGTGCTATCAAGTTTCAATTAGATTTCTTCAAAAATGTTAGAAATGACACTATGATAGAATAACATATTTGAATAAAATTTAGATCAATTTGATTAAGATAGGTTTAGACTGAAAACTAAAAATAGGACAATAATATTTTTTGGTTTGAGCTAAATTATTTAGTTAGCAAATTTAATTAGAAAAAGATAAAATAATTTAACTTATTTAAAATAAATAAATTAAAAAATTAGAGAGATTTAGTTTTTATCTCATTCTTAATCTAGAACCGAAAATCGAACCGAATCTGTTATTCTCAATTCAGATACTCGTTCGGGTATTAAACTTAAGAAGAACCATTCGATTCAATTCAGTTCGGGTCTCAGGAGCTTTGTCCAGCCTTATGTTTCTTAATCTCAAAATGAAAATTTTAATTCTAGTAGTTATCAATTTTTTTCGAATAAATATGTAATCATTTCAAAATGGACAATTATCAAATACCATACACGAACAGTATCATAATAAAATAATTATCTAAAATTATACGCCCTTATCAAAAAATAGAATTGATTAAACCTAATTCAAAAGGGTCGAGAAATTTAACGTCACTATTATCAGGACGATAGCTTAGATTTTTAATAACTCGAAGTTTTGTATTCTATTGGAAGAAAAGAAAAGATCGATAGTAATTCATCTGCGCTCCAAAAGAGGTTACAATTTTCAATTCATTTTTGTATCACACATGAATTCGACGAAAGGTAATTATTATTTTTTTATGTATACGCATAATCATGGCAAAGTTATATGTACCATTTCCCTTTTCTTTAACCTAATCAAATATTTCTTTTGATATTCTTTCATAAATTTTAAATTGATAAAATATAATGTTGTTGCTCTCGAAGTAGCACAACATCGTAATAATATTTCTAAAGAACATTAATCATAGATCTGCCTATTATAAATAATTTGTTGTTACTCCTGGAGTAGCTCAACATTTTAATTAATATTAATGAAAAATATTACTTGCTCGTAAAGAATATGAACTATATTTTTTTTTCAATATTCCAGAAGAATATTAATTGCTCCTGAAGAGTATGAATTATAATTTTCAATATTCCAGAAAAATATTGACATATTGTTCATGAAAAGCATGAATTACAATTTTTAATATTTCGAATAAAGATATTGAGTTGTTGCTGTTGAAGAAGCAATAGTAAAATATAAAGTACTAAAAGAAAAAAAAACACAACTTTATAAATATTAATATTTGTCTAAAAAAAGGTACTTGTGAAGAGTTGATGTTTTTAAAAAAATAATTTATTGGTGCGCCTATAGTAGCACAACATTTTTAATATTCTAAAATGAATATTGTTACTCCTAAAATAACAAATTATTATTTACAGATATTCTACTTATATCTTACTTGCTCCCGAAGAGTATAATTAAATACAATCTAATTTAAATTATGTTTTTACTTTTGAAGAATAAATTCTTATACAATTTATTATTTCAATAATAATATGTTATTGCTGATAAAAAGCGTGATACTAAGATTCTAATATTTTAGAAAAATATTGATATTACTTTTAAATAAGCAATAATAAAATATGACGTGTTCTTGAAATAACACATGTTTTGAAGAATATATTATGTTTAATTTATGAATTTGTGTGTTATCCCTAAAGGAAAACATACGAATATGTCATGTTAACATTGATCATTATATGATCATATAATATTTAATCATATTCTTCAAGATTAAATAATCTGATTATATCTTAATTGAACCAGAAGTTTAATGTAATTGGCATGATCAGTTGGACCATCACTAGATTAATAATGATGCGAAATTAAAAAATTCCAAATCGATATTCAATGGAGAATCAGAAGATTTTTCAATCCAATAAATTTCTATAGATCATTTGTTTTATTTATCGATAATTAATCATTATATATCACTGGCTTAAAAAGGAATTGAATTTTTTATATTTCTGAAAATTAATTAGGGTGATATTGGGACCCCATCACATACCACGTTGATCATTTAAATATTATTTGTATCTAATAGATTGATACATATATTAGATGATTGCATGGTATTCGCAATCTGAAGTTTACGAAATTATTGCTCAAATTTAAAATTATGAGCATAATTTTCAAAGTATACAATCAATACATCGTCTTGTTAATGCTACTGACTCTAAATCTCAACATTTTAATAAGTGTCAGTCGGGATATCGATAAACTGTTTAGCACTATTATTTGTTAAACTCCTCTAATAAATTGAGAACAAAGTACTTCCCACTTTTATTTATGAAATTTTATTACACATCATGCCAACATCCTAGTTCTCCCTATTATGATTGTCTTATGATCATAATCGAATTTTCTCATCTAATTATTTTGATACTGCAGTATATGTAAAAATTGAACCACCACCATACATTAAGATGGAATGTAAAGAATGTTGAGAATAAATGCGTAATATGAACACTTATCCCAAATGGGTGATATTTTATGACGCAGTAAAAATATTTGTCAATTTAATTTGATAATTCTCTCAGCATTAGGGGGAGAAATTAAAAAGTTGAAAATAATGTATAAATGCATAATCATTTAAATTTTAGCAAAAGCTCACTTAAATCAGAAATTCAAAATATAATTTATTTAGATGCATTTATTGAGCAAAGAGATGAACAATATCTCACGCACAAGTTTTAAATATTCCAATACGAATCGATGTTCTACGAGAGCAATTTGATAGCATTATATTTTACATATCTACAGCACGCCTGCAGCACGATAGTGTTCGATTCTAATATAAAAAAATTTCAAACGAAAATAAAGTAATTAACAAAGATGGTCTTATTAAGGAGGCATATGGTAAGTATTTAGACATGACAAATTATAAAACTCCATATGAGATTTCAGGTACCTGATATGTTAAATCTTGAAATATCTAAATAATTTATGTCATTATGGGAGAAAAGATATAGAATCAAAAAGAAAAAATTGTCGACAATAATTTTACACATGATATATTGTATCATATGGAGAAATCAAAATAAATGCGTCGAAATGACTTTCCTCACTTTAGGAAAGGGAAAACTACATTCTGAAAAACAAGATAAAATTTCTTGAAATGAAATAACTCTATCACATTTTAATTCCAATAACAATCAATGTGAGCAAGAAGTTGAAAAAATCATTCATTTGTAAAGAGTTGCAAATCAATTACCTGATGTAGTTGTTGACACAAGAAAAGTGATAAAGTCATATATTATAGCAGAAAATATTCCAACAATAATTTATGTCCCTGTAGGACAATCTATTGTAACAAATAAATCTCAAATACGTCAAAAGTGTGGTCGATCTGTTGGTTCAAAATACTATCTACCTCGAAAAATAAAGGTACAAGAGAAAACCAATTAAAAACTTTAGAAGAAGTAACATTAGAAAAGATTGATCAATTAAATATTGAAAATATGATTCCTAAAGAACCACAAGTTTTTGAAAATAATGAGATTTCAATAAATTATAGGAACGGAATAATGTTGTTATAGATATTATTTTCACCTTTAGCGTGGCTCTGGATATTATGCAAAATGAGGATCTTGAACCATAGTCAATTAAAGACTATTAAAATAGAAATGATTGGGCAAAATGGAAAAAAACTATATAAGCGGAGTTGAATTCCTTAGAGAAACTAAAAGCGTTTGGATATGTAGTTTGAACACTTGAAAATGTAATCTCTATTAGATACAAATGAGTTTTTGTATAAAAAGATAAATAAATATAATGAAATTATAAGATACGAAACCCGAGTAATAGCGCAAGGTTTTTCACAAAGTTCTGAAATTGATTATGAGAAAACATATTCTCGTAAATGGAAACCATCACTTTTAGATTCTTAATTAGTTTGATTGTGTCATAAAAAATTGA